TTTACCGATACACTCAACTTCAACAATCGCGCTATATCAACGAACGTCAATAATACTTCTGACCGCAGATCAATTACACTCTGTCTATACACACATTACCTTACCCTCCCGCGTCACGTTTTCCCCTCTTATATATACCAGCCTACCCTACTAGCAAACACTAGAGCATTCGCCAAAGTACATGATAATTCTAGAAACGTTGCGTCACTGTAGTCATGTGACTCGCTGACGCAACACATATATATTCAAACTAGATTACAATTTTAACTAGAAATATTCTTTTATGGATAATTTTAAATGAAATTTTTAGTCAATTTTCTTAATTGTTATTACATTATTAAGTAATTAATAAAAAGCAGATTACATACCAACATAAAGGCAGCCATAGAAGGCACAGATAAGGTCAACACCAGGAGGGTAGACAAGAGCCACATGGTCACCTGTGTTGAGTTTCCCTTTCTCTAGCAATAAACAGCCAACTCTCTCTGATCTCTTTTGTAGTTGTGAACAAGTTAGAGATGATGAAACTCCTCCCTAACAGAAAAAATACAGAGGTAATACTGTCATAATGGATGTGATGTAACCAGTCTAGAACTTTGTTCTGCTGATAATGTGAAACTGTTGTAATATTTTAATATCCCCTTTAGATCTTTGTTCTGCTCAGCATGTGCAACTCTTGTAATAGGTGTGAAGCATCCTGTCTAGATCTGTTCTGCTGAGCATGTGCAACTGTCTAAATATTTATGAAGTACCTTGTCTAGATCTTTGGTCTACTAGGGATGCACAACTGTCATAATAGGTTTGAAGTACTTTGTCTAGATCTTCACTTTGCTGAGCATGGCAACTGTTGTAATATGTGTAAAGTATCCTATCTAGATCTTCACTTTGCTGAGCATGTGCAACTGTTGTAATATGTGTAAAGTATCCTATCTAGACCTTCACTTTGCTGAGCATGTGCAACTGTTGTAATATGTGTAAAGTATCCTATCTAGATCTTCACTTTGCCGAGCATATGCAACTGTTGTAATATGTGTAAAGTATCCTATCTAGACCTTCATTTTGCTTAGCATGTGCAAGTGTTGTAATATGTGATAAAGTATCCAATCTAGACCTTCACTTTGCTGAGCATGTGCAACTGTTGTAATATGTGTAAAGTATCCTATCTAGACCTTCCTTTTGCTGAGCATGTAAGTTTCCTTTAGTTGCCAAAAGCTTGATTTCTAAGGCAACTTTTCACTGAAAACTTTGTTTCTATGGCAACTTTTGTAGGACTGGCTTTTCTAAGATTAGATATGTTTGAAGAGTAACACTTTTACCGCAAGAATGAATAGTTCACATAGTAAACACCCTATTTTGACTACCTTGGAGCTAAAATAATTATATTTAAAACAATGACAGAACAATAGCAAATATAATTATAACTAAATACAGTAACAATGAAGCACTACGTACCAGTAATGCCACACTTACTTTGGAGTTTAGCAATGTAAAAACAATGTGATCTGCAGTGGTAGTTGCTCTCCATCGAAGAACTTCTGAAATGAACTGATATTTGCGTGTGGCATCACTTACATCTTCGACTAGTGCCACATCCCTTCCCTGAGCTGATGCCAGTCTAACACCCTGAACCATACTGCCAACCAGCACTGATGCTGGTCCTACCTCTATAAACAAAACATTAAATCCAATAACAAATTTAGTCTTAAAGTATTCCCTTCTACACATTTGATTGCTAATAAATTCTACATAAATGTACTTAATAATACACGCTATGTAAACACACACAGTGGAAATAACCAAAGCAAAAAAATAATCAAATTTACTTTTATACTATGTTAAAACATCTAAGACTTTTACTTCAAAAGTATATTACAATATCCTTGAAAATGGCATTACAGACATTCATTAACTAAGGATTTTCATGAAACCTACCTGAATGAACTTCCCTAGGTTTAGGAAGATTGGTAACACATGTGTGGGGGCACATTAACACATTAACGGGATGAAGATTTCCTTCCAGAAACATTCGTTTAGTTTCTGATAAGTGAATTCCACCCAGAGGAGTCTTAAAAACAAGGATTTTGTTAAAACAGTTTTATTCTTTTGAAATAGTTTTTGTATTTTAAAAATGCACAACCAATACAATGTGTACAAAACACAAGATATATAAAAAAAAAATGTTTCAGCACAAATAAAGTTCTTTTCATCACATGTATAAGGAAGTAAATTTCTCACAGAGAATGTTTTTCCCATAAATATGTTATTATATTTATATATTTTTACATTTTCCCATACAATGTATTAATTTTAAGATAACTTTCAATTGGAAGTGCATATTTCATTTTATGAGTTCAATTTAGCAAAGCGAAATAACAAGGTTTATAATATGATATAAAATGATAGTAAAAATTAGCTAAAATTAAATTTCGTTGATAACAAAAAATAAGTCAATATAGTTCTAGAATCATAAATGTCAAAATATTCTAAGAGACAACACAAAGAAAACATAGTAGAATTCTAAGTTTAAAAAAGTTATAATTTATAAAACAGAAAAGTCGAAATACAGTAAACAAAACAACCAAATAAAATGCTCACCTTTGGCAAAAAGTTTGGTGGTACTAAGGCTAAACAGTAAATTCCAATTTGATGAATACCATCAACTGCCTGTAAAACTCTGCTCATCCACTGAAAGCTCTGTACCAGAACATTTAATTTCATCAGTATGTAATTAACAAATGCAATAACTTGGTATAAAAAAACTTCAAAACCCTACATCCAAATGTTTACTTTTTTACCACAGTAGATTAATGTAATTACTTCAATTTTTTAGTCCAATATAAAACAACTTTCAAAATACTATATATGATCTTCAGTACGTAGAATGCCATGTTTTATCTACCTCATCATTAGTTTTCATGTTGCATTGAAAATTATTTATATATCCACCAAATCATAGCTAGTATAACAGTAAATAATGCTAAGATAGAAAAAATTCCTTGTCATCATTTTTATAAGTGTTATCTTCATATACTATTTAAAGGAGAGATATTAATTGCAGAGAAAGCTCCACGGAAACATTACCTCTTCCTCAGTGCAGTCCAGTCGTTGTTCTGCTATCACACATATTCTTTCATCCCTGAGCACACGAATTGAAAACACAGCAATCCTAAAAAATACAAAAATTTGGAGATTGTAAACCTCAAAGAATTTTGTATAAAAAAAAATTAATAAGAATTTTACTCATACTATATCTAATTTATTAAATAGTCAGAATTGTTCTTAGAAAAAAAATTATCTTGTAACTTTTTTTAAATCAACATAACCAGTTCAGCAAAGTCTCTTTTATAAAACTACTCATCATAAATCATTACTTTGAGACTATTCTGCAATATCATGCATTTGTTAGCATTATTTATTCATATTTAGCTTAATGACCTAAAACGATAAAGCAAGAACTGGTGTTTCTGTTTTGTAACTCTACTAAAAGCAATAACACAAATGTTTGTGAAAGATGATTTCTATATAACGAAACAGGACTTTATGAGTCTTTATTTATTACATATTTCAATAATTGCCCACCTGCCACGGTAAATAAACTTCATTGGTTCCACTGCTAAAACAGTAGCTATGATATCATCACTGTTATGTTTCCTCCCGCTGACTTGCATTAAACCATCTCGGGTACCACAAACAAAAACAAGTCCTCCCTAATAGATAAAATAAAAAGCTGTTTGTTTGTTTATAATCTTCAAGCAAAGCTGCATATATAAAAATTAGATGGGCCACATATTACAGAATAAAGAAGTTAGGTCAGCCAAAAACAAAAACAAGCCTCCTTTGATAGCCAAATTAAAGAAGTCGGGTGTACCACAATCAAATACTTCTCCTTGACAGACAAAATCAGAAATTGTGCATAACCCAAACATAAGTCCTTTTTGAGAGTTAAAATCAAAAAGTCCAAAAACTAATTTGTTGTGAGGTAGGCTAAACATAAACACAAGTCCTTCCTGAAGGTCAGAATGATAAATTAGTAAATACAAAATAAACATGTCTCTATAAAGAATGAAATGAAAAATTTCAACAAATCTCCTTGCCAATGATAAAATTTTATAAACTCGTTATAAAGCTGACACTTCGGATTCTGCAAATTTTTTAATGCTATTTCCTATATAAACTTTTTAAGCGTACTTTTACTTGAAAGTTGTACAATGTCATTTCAATTTTTTTTAAACCATCAAAAATTTGTTTTCACACTTTGAAAGAAAATATCAATTTTTATAGATCAACCTTCTCAATTTGTATTTAAATGAATTAATGAAAAATATATATCAGTACTAATTACTCAAAACAAAATAATTTTGCTCTTCATGCAAAACACATTAGATAAAGCTAGTGTACTATTTTTCACATATATTTTTCAAAACAAGAACTTAAAAAAATCGTGTAAGTATTATTTCAGGATGTTGATAATTATGGAAAAAAAATACCCATTTAGTGGTTAACTTTTTGGAATAGCATCTACCTTCTCAAAAACATGGTTCACCTAATTATTGGATTATTCCTTATTAATAATATAGGTAAAACTTCTATATTCAACAGTAGTACTTGCAAGCTCTTTTAATTATAAAACATTTTGTCTATCATAATAAACTTTATCACCTAAACATACTACTTTATATTAGTCATCCATTAATAATTGTTAACCTGATTGTTACAACAATACAATGAAAACAGGATAATCTAACATAAACACACTGTATTATGTTTATTACATTGCTTTATTTTGCCCTTTTTTATATCCTGTTTGTTAACGTTTTTTCTAATGTATTACATAAAAGCAATACTTGATAAAAAAAAACAGCAAATTTTGACACATACTGGACCAAGAAAGCCCAACAAACCAGTCCTTATAAAATTCTGCTCACTCGCAGGCCTCCCATCTGGATGTAATAGTTGAACCTGTAACAACATGTAAAACATGATGCATGTGTATCATGGAAGTGGAAGAAAGTAGAAAAAGCAAACCTAATAAACATGTATTTAAAAAGGGTACAATATTACTTTGGTATATGGATGTAAAAGGGATAATTACAGTCTAAATAATCTTATTGTCTCAACAGATGAATAATTAGCTAGTCAGTATTACTTTGGGTACAGTAGCAACCTTCAATATTCAATGAATTGATGAAAAAACAATGTACTCAATGTTGGTATCTTATTAAATACAAGCTTTCAGCTAGTGTACTAAATTTATATATCCTGAAACTTGTCCAAGATTCATGTTTCATTACATTCTTTCTGTACCATTTAAAATGATTATTTAAATCTGTATTCAGTTTAATCTGATGATGATTAAACTACAGTAGCTGGAAACTTACACTTAATAAGTACCAGTATAGTAAAACCTGTTCATCATCTATTCATCAAATGCTTCTTCACCTATACTTTTGGCTTCAAAAACTTTTTAAATTACATCCAACTGATTTTACAAGCTACTTTTAAATACTCTTCAACATCAGAATGAGAATAATATTATGACCAGTTGTAGATTTATCCACAGTAAAGACTTTTACTCACAGAATTTTATTAGCAATTAATATTTTTAAAATCAATTAAAATAGCCTCTTGGTAATCTATAGCACAAAATAGTTTTTAATTACAAACCATGTATTGTAACACAATGCTAAATCAAATGTGCTGCAGAGCTCATCTACTGCATCTCTCATTATGAAAAAGCATACCTATCAATTAAAGTTTGAATTTTTTCAAGTTCATTTTATGTAATCATTTCTGTCAGAAGTTACATTTATAAATTTACTGCTCGTAACACTTTTAATATGTATTTTTAAATATTACACTGCCATTAGAATATATCAGGCAGGCAGTAGCACTGCCTATGTAGTGATGGCTCAGATTGTTCATCGAAATGGTATTTTAAATATATCCTCAATAGGTCATCAAAACTTTACAATACTATACAGAGTTTCCTTTTATAACAATATCTATGTAATGACTGAGTCACAAGTTCTGGGAATGTCTGTCAATATCATAGCAAAAAGTTTGATCTTCTTTTTTCCTCTTTTTTCTGCTTCTTTTTTATTACATGATAATTCAAAAACCATAACAATGCTGTCAATCAATTTCACTGAGTATCTGCTTTTATAAGTATTATTAATAAATAGTAGTAATTTAAAAAAAATGATAGTTCTAGTGTAAATGATGTTATCATTACCCCTTGAAGTTAGCTTTCTTACATAAATTAGTTGTTCGTTTAAAAAGCTTAAATACAGGGTGAAACAGGAATTACCAGCCAATAATATATAAACAATAATTATTACAGTTGGAACCTAACTGTATTTAGAACCTGATTATAAATACAACCTTTCTATGTCTATTGAAACACTGCATTTAAAAAAACAAGCAAACAAGTAAAGAAAAACTTTTCAAAAAAGGAAGTAAATGTAGGGATGGCTAACATCAATCCTCTAAAAAGAATGTAAACAAGATGGTAAGGATGACATTTGCATCACCCCTACATAATAGCACAGGCAAGAATTAACATATAGCAATATATATATAACTATTCATTCACAATTGAGCTTAATTTATCCTATTTTTGTCTGTTAACATTCTAATACACTGTGTGCTTGTGCTGTTATGTAGGGATGATACAATGCCATTCCTACTATCTTGTTTTTGAAGGATTGATATTAGCCATCCCTACATTTACTTTCTTTTTTGAAAATATTTTTCTTTACTTGTATCTTTGTATGCTCAAAATTTTGTGCTGCTATGAGGAAAATATATTTCCTTCAAACTTCAAAATTTACCAGTTTCAACATATGTAATGAAATATCTTGTTTTCTTTTCTATTGTGTGTCTAAAGATAAACCTGCCATTGGAAGAGTGGTTTACCTATAAAGTGGCCATAAGGGTTAAAATACTTCACACACACATATATATTTCTGATAATAATTTAAAAACTTCTGTATTGATAGCTCAATCCTTATATACCTTAAATATAGAGTTGGTGAGCCCTTGAAGCCCCCAGTAAGCACTTCCAGTCATCAAAGAGCTTACACAGAGTTCCCCAATTTCATCAGTCTTACATAAATGTGGCTGTTCATTCACTTTCACAACAGCTACCTGAGCTAAAAGAATAGAAAATAATACTTTCAAAATGTAAGAATGCACTAACCAAAAACTTGCATGATAATAACACATTATTCAAAGCCTTTCTTTTATGAAAACATAAAATATGCATGCTGATGTCAAAATATGATAATGTCTACACCAAATTAAAACTTCTACAAAATCCACATCAGTAACAACAGAACAAGACTCAAATCATCAATTTAAATAAAACGACCATCACTACTACGCATAATTACCTTCAACCATCAGCTATGTGTATTTCATCTGGTTGTTTATAAATATGGTGTGTATTTTGTGGCTTACTTTTGCACAGCAACAGAATTTCTATTTTCTGAAATTGTAACCTTGACTTTTAATTCCAAATGCAATAGGGTTCAACTCCAGTTCAAATGGAAGTGATGTGTAAAGCTTGATTAATATCTGCTGTTTTATAACTTTAGTTATCATACAAAAACCAATTTTATTTTCTACTTTGAAGTAGTGAACTTGACCTTCAGCCTTATATCATTAGAGTTTTTCCCCATCTCAAAAAGACTGATCCATGATGTATATTTAAAGCAGGCTGTTTAGAACTCTAGTTATTATGCAGAAAATAGATGTCTATAGATGGATGGACTAACAAACAGATATAAAATATCATAGTGATATCTAGGGGTGTTGTGATACAGCGATACGATACATGAAGCCATGATACGATTGTATCGATACATTGTCCGATACAATACGATTTGTATATCTTTACAAAATTTGGCAAGCTTTCAGTAAACGTTATAGGTCTTTTGTACAGAAAAAGTCAGAATTTATAACAAAGTATTTTTTGTTAAAAATTAATGATTTAATATATGCAGTCAAAGTAGTCACTACTCTGAGTGTAAAGTGGTTTTCATGTTAAGATTAAAAATACTTTTCTCCATCAAAAAATTAACACATCTCTTTTGTGTAATTTCTAAAACCTCCGAAATAAATTTCCATCTTTTTTTCCCAATAAATCTTCATATTTTATCTACTATATCCAGTACCCTAATTTTATGTGAAGTCAGTCAGTTTGACCAGACTTGTAACCACCATAAAAATACAAAATAAATCAAAATTATCCTTTTTTCTTTCTAGAATTACTTCAAATTGTATCAAACAATGTTAGTAATATAGGTAATAAATTATAGACATGATTGTCAAACTTTGTAACAAACCACTAGTAAAACTTCTGTATCTAGATACGTATTGTATCGTGGCACACGTATCATATTGACTACTATCATATCATATCAGCCATAGTAATATCCTCCTATGCTACCCTTCACACCTTTTCAATTGAAGGATAACAATATACACTTACAAACCATTTGTTTAGTACTCCTAACATAATTCTGATATTAATTTATACAGGAAATTCTCACCTGAATTCTACAGCATTTAGCTAAAATTTTAAATTTCTTTCTTTATGAAACATTGGAAGTCCTTTATTTCTTTCATAAATTTTTTTTTAAATCGACATTTATTATAGCTTTATACAAACATATAAATAATTTTCCTTTAAGAAATAAATTTGCTTTAAAATAATTAATTAAACCATACACTCAGAATGTGATGTGAGACCTTTATTTGGAATAAAAATGTTTTCATTAGGATAAAAAACAAACTAACCACCAGGCATAACCAATCCACAATCTTGTAAAGTAAGAGATGTAAGACTGTTTTCTTGATCCACTCGGATTACTCCATGACTGAGAGCTGACATGGACAACACTCCTCTACCGCTAGAACCCGGTCCTGATCGGCCAGGTCTTAGTAAAAGCAACATAAATACAAAACTGAATTAATCTTTACAAAATTGTTACTTGCATACAAGAGAGATTAATCTATGTAAGTAAAAAGTAAGTTAAAGTTATTTTGTCAACAACCAGTGTTCTTGGTCAACAACCATACTCATCTTCCAAGATTTAAATATAATTTTGTTTCATGGAGGAGTTGTTTTAAAATTTCCACAACTGTAACCATTTCAAAGGCCATGTTCACCTCAACATTGCAGTCTTGATAAATATAAAGGTTCAATTGAAATTTACTTTGTATGTAAAGTGGTGTCATTGTTATTTAAAATATGAAACACATTACTGTTAATACACATTTGCATAGTATTTAATAACTACTGAATTATATATATATATATATACAAGTAATTTTGTCTTTAATAAATATTTCATTATTTTTACCTGTCTCTTAATTCTCTGTATATGAGCTAAGTCATTTTGACTAAACTTTCAATCACCATGTAACCCAAAATTATACATATTATAACTTTTAATGTATCTTCAAAAAATGTAGTAATCTTTTAGTAAATGTTGCGTATTTTGTATGCAAAAACCTAGATTTTTTTAATTAAGTATTTTTACTAAAGATT